AAGAATTTGGCAAGCTCAGTGACCTTCTGAACCAAAGACACTGGCTGACTTTGAGGTTCCTCCAGTGTTACAAAGCATATTAAATAGTGAACTATTCTTGATTAGGCATTTGACTGTTGAAGAAAATTGTTGTTTTTTTGTTGTTGTTGTTGTTGTTTGTTTGTTTGTTTTTCACACTTACCACTAAGTCTAACATAGAAAAACTAGCACATGCTTCACTTTGGCTAGAGGATGGCACTTTCTTTTTTCTTCCACAACAAGGATCTTAGGAAGGATGGCAATTTCAAAACTGTCCCCACTGTTTTTTGTATTTTTTTGTGTGTTTTTTAAATCAACTATGCACAATTAATGCTCCTGTTGGATCTGAAAAATTCTGAACTTATCTGCTCAGTTACGTATTCATGACTGGAGTAAAGTACTTTATAAATGCTGATTTGAAAACTTTGTGGCTTTCTCCTTGCATCTTTGTCCTGGATCAGTCACTCTGGAGGAAGCCAGATGACAGGTCATGAGGATACTCTAGCAGTCCTATGGAGAGCCCCACATGGTGAGGAACTGAGGCCACCTGCCAACATGAGTCATGTTGGAGGCAGGTCTTCCAGTCCCAGCCAGGCCTTCGGAGAACAGCAGCCTGGGCTGACGTATTCAGTCAAGCCTCATGAGATACCTTGAGCCAGAATCCCCTAGTTAAGCCATTTCCAGATTCAGACCCCTAGAAAACATGAGCTAAAAATGTCCACTGTTTTAAGCTGCTAAATTTGGGGTAATTTGTTTCTTAGCAATGGATAACTAATATAAGTGTATTCTTTGATCACCAAAGTCTAAAGAGAAACCTGAAGTTCCTAAGTTATTTTTAACCTTCCACATTGCAAATCAGTGTAACCCAGGTATCAGCAACAGCTCCTGTCTTTAGGACATCTCAACGTAATTGTCTCTACTGAGAGCTTAGTCAGCTCCACAGCTATGAGTTGTGAACTCCATCCTGTGGCATATTCCTGAAAAAAAGTACTTCCCTGTCTTCTAGACTTCTGTTTTCGCCTAACCAGAGATCATCAAGGCATTCCTTTGCAAATAAAACAGTGTTCTTCTTCAGAGGATCTGAGTTAAGTACAACTGTCTCTATCTCATTGTTCAATATCTTTTTGGATTTCAATGCATAAATTTATAACCTCTGAATCAGACTACTATCAACATAACCCAAAGTACCAGACTCATTTAGTGGAACAACACCCTGTGCCTCCAATTGTTACTATGTGTGAGGAGCAGCTTGTAAGATGGCTCCCCCAATCCCCACTTCCTGGTATTCATGTCCCTGTACAATTTCCTCCCTTTCAATGTGGGCTGGGCTTAGGGACTTTCTTCTAACAAACAGACTGTTGTGAACATGATGGGATGTCACTTCTCAAATAAGATTACACAAAGACTCAGCCTTCCACCTTACTCACACTGATGACAACCAGATGCCGTGTTGCGAGCTGCCCTGTGAAAAGGCCCGTGTGCCAATGAACCAAGGGAGACCTCAAGTCAACAGCCAGTGAGGTACGGAGGCCCTCAGCCTAATAGTCACAAGGAACCAAATCCTGCCAACAACCACATGAGTGAGCGTAGAAGAGGATCTTCCTTGATTTAGCTTTGAGGTAACCATAGCCCTGGTCAGCACCTTGGTTGTAGCCTTATGGGAAACCCTGAGCCACAGGACCCAGCTAAGCCACACCCAGTTTCTGACCCACAAAAATGTGAGATAGTAAATGTTGTTTAAGCTACTGCATTTGGGGATAATTTATTACACAGCAATTGATAAGTAATATACTATGGGAAAAGAATTAGTTATAAAACATAAATTGTAAAGTACACAATAGTCAAGTGTTTCTAGACCATACTCAGCTTGTTAATCCAAAGCACTCAATAATATTTGACCAAGACTCAGTAACACCAAAGCGTAGGTTACAGGATGCAAATTTATCTTGACATGTGATTTTTCTCTGTGGTAAGTTTTCCCAGATTCATCTTTGATAATTTATAATTCATAAGAATTGTGCATGGGAATATAAACACAGTTATACAGTATTAAAATGCTTTTTAAAAACATTAAGTAGAAGCATATCTGGCAAGTACATAGCTTCTGATCTTCTTTCTTAGGTTTTATGAATTCACTACCTACCACATGGTAGATGAGCATTTGTCATATTTAAATATGTATGGGAAAGTAAATTTGGAAAGCCATTCATCAGCACAATTTGTTTTAAACCCCTGAATTAAAAAAGGAGAAAAGTAGCTGAGTTTTGAGTTTTTCTCTAAGTTGGCATTTCTCTAAGTATACACGCTATTTAGGGATGGTGTATAGTTTTTAAAAGGTTCCATTGTCAAATAAGTTTGAAAAAAAGCTTGGTGAAATTAAATTAAAATAGGCTACATTTTTGCACAACACCTTTAAGCCTTCCCTCCTGCCTTGCTCCCACCCCCACCCCCAGCCCCCATACCTGCTGCTGGGTCACCTAAGTATAAGTATTGTGAATCTCTAAAAGGAGAGTGTGTTCTGAAATTTCTTTTTAACTTATTTGGTTGAATGACTGATGCTTCTTCTCCATGAACATTCCCTGAAATTACATTTTGGCAAAACCGTTAAAAATTAAGAGCTTAACTGAAAACTGACTCTGAATGTTGCATCCAGCTCTTTCCTATTAGCAGATTCCATTTTTCAAATGTTATCAAAGTTCCCCGCCTACAAACTTCCCTCATGGATTGAAGCTTTATTAGTTAAGAGGCTGGAGCTACACACTTAAACAGGTTTAATATTTCTCACCAGTAGTGGGTTTAGCTTCATTCACAATTGCAACAGATAACATTACTAACTAGTTATCTGTTCATAAATTGTAATAATAAACCCACAGAAAATGTTAACTATGTGCCAGGCACTATTTTGAGGCAAAAAAAAAAAAAAAATCTATACTGGCAGATGAAAGAGTTGACATCCAGGAAGGCTAAAGGAACCAGTGTTGAAATAGTACCACCAATATCTGTATACCATGTCTTCATGCTGGGAGTTACTATTGTAATATGGACATTGCCTGCATTGGTTCAACAATTCAAGGCAAATTATTTTATGAAAGATCAAGCACAAATTAATCTTATACTCTATTAAAATTCATCTTGGTTTGCTGCTGAATTTTCCCCTATTGATTATTAGTTTGTAACAACAGAAACAATGTTGACATAACATTCTCATAACAAATTAATATTACCGTAGCAAGGATTATACAGTCAATACCAAGGTATAACAAATTAATATTCCATTAGCATTTTTTTATCATCTTTGGAACTAAATTAGCTATAAAAGTCACAAGCTTTACAATTTTAAAGTGAGATGATTTTTTTTTTTTCTGGGAGCTTCTATAATTCTAGTGAATATACATTTGAATTTATATATAATACAAACCAGCAAGAGCTCTTACAACAGCCTTTGGCTCTTGTTAATGCCTCTAAATCCACATATGTTTTGCACAATGAACATTAATGCATATAGACTACATGTGTTTTTACAATTAAGTATTTATTGACTTTTAAGAGGAAAAAGTTTTAACTTTTAAAAATTACGCAACTTACATAATTTCTCTAGTTGTTAAACTTTTAATTGAATATCATAGCAAAGTTTTGCAATTGATAGCAAAATCAGATCAGATACTCATTGTTTAATCTAGAAGAGACCCAGCTGTATCTCAAAGTTTTATCATATGTTGGCTGGGCGCATTGGCTCACACCTGTATTCCCAGCATTTTGGGAGGCTGGGGCGGGCAGATCACCTGAGGTCAGGAGTTCGAGACCAGCCTGGCCAACATGGTGAAACCTCACCTCTACTAGAAACACAAAAATTAGCTGGGCATGGTGGTGGGCAACTGTAATCCCAGCTACTTGGGAGGCTGAGGCAGAAGAATTGCTTGAACCCAGGAGGTGGAGGTTGCAGTGAGCCGAGATAATGTCACTGCACTCCAGCCTAAACAGAGTGAAACTCTGTTTCAAAAAAATAAAAATTAAAAAGTTTTATCATATGCTATATGCTTTACCTTATGAGTAGATCACACACACACACACACACACACACACACACACACACACACACACAGAAGTAGAATTTCTTTGGAGAGAAGTAGGAAGACTATATGGAACCTGCCCTTTGTCATTAAAGCACAGATGTAGTAAAAAAGAGTTAGATATGCATTCAAATTCCACCTCTAAGTGTTTTACTTTAGACTAGTTACTTAACCTCTCTGAATTATCTATGAATTGATGGTGAGCGGAGTGATGATACAGGTAGAGACAATATATATGTGCCTAGCACACAGTTCGCACTTGACAAAGTCCTGGAAACACCATCATTAGTCAATTTAAAAGGCTAATGCTGAAACTCATTCTTTTTCTAAACCCTCTGTGAATCTTAATAAAAAGAGAAGGAAGTCCTGGCTGGTGAGTTAGCATATATATGGAACTTGCTTGATATGACACGGTGAACCATAAGAGACTTACCGCCATAGTGTAGGGAAAAATCATTAGCTATTTAGGCATCTAATCCTTAGAACGGGCATAGAAGGTAGGAGGAGGAGAGAATATCAGCAGGTTTGGAGATGAGCCTGCAAAGAGCAGGTAAAGAAACCTGAGAGTGAACTGCCTTGTGAACTGGGCTAACCACACTGACTTGTCTGTGTCCGTCTCTGCTGCTAGCTCAAGAGCAACTTAGGATGCTGGGACTGTGCCTCCTGTATCCCCTGTTGGCCACCATACCTAACACAGACCTTTAAACATGGTGCTCAGTAAAGTGTCAGGGGAGAGGAAGAAAGAATGAAAAGGTGAGCAGGAGAAACTGGAGAGAAAGACAGAGGAAAGAAACGGGCAGATGAGAAGCAAGAAGAGGTCAGGAGGAGGAGGAGGAGGAGTTGCTTACTCTCTCAAATGGGAACCAGAAACTTCTACTCTGTAAAGGCTGCTCACATCTATGTTTCGTGATTTTTTTTTAAACTTTTTTCTCATTTAATTGGCAACAGTTCTTTGGTTCAACCAAACTAAGACCAAGAAAGCTCTGCATAGTTGGAAGTATTGGAAGAAGAGTTATTGGATGGTGACGGCAGCTACACCCGTTCCCAAGGGTGGGCCGGGACAGCGAGATGGGAGAACCAGACAGCCATCCCATTAAATGTCCCTCTGTGATGGCTAATCCTTCCCACTAACTCACACCAACCAATCTAATTCCAGCCTGTTTACGTGAAGGGCACAACCAGATCTTACTTATTTCTCCACGTAATCGCTCTGAAAGTTGTTTCTGAGCTTCAGTCTTTTTGGCTACACTCAGTGGATTCTGAGATCCTGAGTTCTTCCCTTTCAGCTCCATTTCATACATAGCTGTAAAACCTTTTGCTGCTATCCTCCCTGCCTCAGAACCTTCATTAAGTCCTTTGTCCTGGCTTCCTTACCTGTCGCACAAAATTTAAGTTGGGGAGATTCGTTTTGATCCTAGTACTAAAGAAGCTATGGCCAAAGGTCAAATACCAGAAAAAGCTTATACATTCCTGAACGCGCAAGCCTTAGAGCATGAAAAGAATTCTAACAATGACTTAGCACAACCCTCTTATTTTACGGAGGAGATTATTAAGGCCCGGAAAGATCAAGTTTGCATTGAACAACAACAAAAAAGTATGGCCACAGAATGATTTTAAATCTTAGGCAATCATCTTGAAAATGCTTGTTTGTATTTCCAGAAGTCAGGCAAGAATGCAGATTACATCACACAACCATCACCCTCCTGGAGGAGGCTGAAAAACCCCAAGCTCTTGAATTTCTCTTCTTCTAATTGCCAGTCCCTTTCCCACTGAAGTGTGTATCCTAATCCTTAGCCCGAATTCGCATCTCTTTCTTTTGTCAACTGAATGTTGAGGACAGGCCTGAGAAAGATCTCAGCCAGCGTGTGTCGTATGGAAGTGAGATACAAGAATTCTGGAGACAGATAGGGCTGGAGTTCTAGCTCTCAGCTGCCCCTAGCCCTTACTTTGGGTAAGTTTCTTAACCCCTCTAAACCTCAGTTTTGTAGCTGGAAAAATGAGGACAATACTAGGTCCTACTCTCTAGAGTTTTAGAGAGGGTGAGGTGAGCAACCCTGATCCAGACTTCTGCTGTAACCACAAAGGCCGTTGTTTGTGATATGTGGCACAGCCTAGTTTTCTCATTTCCCACAGTGAGTTTCTTCCTGGATGGGAGAGATCTGGTCTCTTCTCCTGACCAATGACTTCAGCGAGGACTGCCTCAGTCCATCAGAGATGTTCTAACAACATTAAACCTCAAAAGAGAAGAAATTAGGGTCTCAATCACTTTTACTCCCATAAGTTTCTTAGCACCTTGTGGAAATACGCTTTCACTGTCCCCACCCTACATGCACCAACCGGCAACCTCATATGCCAGCAGCATAGAGGGGCTGTCATTGTCTGGCCAAATAAAATATTATTCTGCTGCATAATTCATCTTTATTTCATGTGCTTTCTTCACCTTTATGCCATATTTTCCTGTAGCGTGGATCACAAGTATTTGATCTTTCATGTTCAGTCACGTATTCTTTTGTTTAAGCATTTGTTACCATAAGCATTTTTATATTGCTGCATAAATAGGCATGCCTGTTACTATACATTCATATTTCTGAAAAGAGCCAAATATTCTCCCCAGGAAAAGATCTGATTCAAGCTGATCTGATATCTCCAACACCAGAACCACACTTTTCAAAAGCAGTTATTCTGTGAGTGTTCCCACATTCCTTCTTATTGGGCAACCAACCCCATCAAAATGATAATACCATTTATTATGTTACTATTGTGTCCCAAGCATTTTTCAAGTGTTACTTTATGTATTCCTCAAATAATCTTAATTTTAAGAGACCAGCACTGTTATTCCTATTTTTCAGATAAGGAAACTGAGGTACAATGGGGTAATGTCATCGGCAAACTGTCACTCAGCTAGCAGATCATGGAGCCAGGATTCAAAACAAATCTATATGGAAATGTCAGAGGCATTTGAACCAGAGCAACTCCATCTTGAATAGGAGCTGGGTAAAATCAGGCTGAGACTTACCGGGCAGCAGCATTTCCGGATGGTTAGGCATTCCAAGTCACAGGACGAGATGAGGGTCAGATCATAAACATCTTGCTGATAAAACAGCTGCAGTAGAAGCTGGCTAAAACCTACCAAAACCAAGATGGTGATGAGGGTAACCTCTGGTCATCCTCACGGCTACACTCCCACCACTGCCATGACAGTTTACAAATGCCATGGCAAAGTCTGGAAGTTACCCTCATGGTCTAAAAAGGGGAAGGCATAACAATCCACTCCTGTTTAGCATATCATCAAGAAATAACCATAAAAATGGGCCCAGCAGCCCTCAGGGCTGCTCTGTCTACGGAGTAGCCATTCATTTATTCCTCTACTTTCTTAATAAACTTGCTTTCACTTTACTCTGTGGATTCACCCTGAATTCCTTCTTGCAGGAGATCCAAGAACCCTCTCTTGGGGTCTGGATCAGGACCCCTTTCTGGTATCAATTCTATAACTCATGCCTACATCATCTTAATTTATACAATTCTCCATAAATGAAATATAAGCCAATGGCATAAAATGTGTATTAGTCCGTTCCCACACTGCTATAAAGAACTACCTAAGACTGGGTAATTTATGAGGAAAATAGATTTAATTGTCCCACAGTTCTACAGGCTGTACAGGAAGCATGGCTGTGACGTCTCAGGAAATGTACAGTCATGGTGGAAGGCAAACAGAAAGCAAGCACGTCTTACACGGTGAAGCAGGAGAGGCAATAAGGAAGGGGGAAGTGCCACACACTTTTAAACCGTCAGATCTCATGAGAACTCACGATCACAAGAACAGCGAGGGAGAAATCTGCCCCCTTGCATGATGCAATCATCTCCCATCAGGCCTTTCCCAAACATTGGGGATTACAATTCAACATGAGATCTGGGTGGGGACACAGACCCAAACCGTATCAAAAGGCCACTGTGGCAGAAAGTTTTAGCCTATGACTCAGAAACTCAACAGCTGTTTGGTGGCAGAGACGGTGCATGGCAAAAGCCCAAGGAAGTGAGTTATGTTTAGGGGGCACTCACCAATGCCATGGGCTGCTGAGGAAACACCGCTGTTTGGCTTCCCGCATTGTTAGAGCCCTTATTGTTCCCTCACTGACAAGTCAGCCCAGTATTAGGGAGATCCACAGAGGGGCAGAAGTCTTGAAAACTTTCCATGAGACATGGCACGTCGTAGTCTGTGTTAAATCTAGTCACAAGCTGAAAAAGCATGTATAAAATACAAATATTATCAACATGATTTTAACTCAGAGGCTGTAACATTTTAAAGGAAAATTTTTAAAAGAAAATAAGTAATATATATACATGTATGTATGTAGATAGAATTTATATATACATTATAAATATCTACAAATGAGGAATATACGTGTGTATACATACATGTACATATATCCCCCCTCACATTAAAAAGCACCTGTCAAGATTAGATAATCTATTTATGTTAGACATGACAAATGCATTACCAATGATAGCATTAGAAGCACCTGAACTTTGTACCAGTTATCTGGGCAGCTACACCAGAGAACTTGTGATCTCAATAAGCCAGAGTTCCTGGGAGAAGGGCCTCACGGCAGTCAGGAGACTCGCTGGTCCAGGCAGCAGATACTGGAGCAGTAGTGCCGTCTTCACAAGGATGTTTATCCAGGAATCCATCTGGCATTACGACAGAAGCTACTGAATTTCTTTAGGGCACTCTGGACATGGCTTCCTCTGTACCTGGAGAATGTAAGCAATAATAACAGGTGGCTACAGCTGAAAAGAGCATCCCCCAGAATTCCTGGGCACTGCGCTTCCCTTGTTCCTGTTTACGAAACCAGATTTCCGATTAACTTCAGCCCATCTTCAACCCCTGGCTCCTGTTTCTTGCCTTTGTTTTCTTTAATGAGGCTTTATGCTCAAGTCTGTGTCCAATCTTCAGTCCCATGAGCACAGACGCTTTCTCTGAGCCAGCTCTATCCCTGGATCTTGGTTCTAGCCTGGCCTTGCCTTTGTTCTCAGCTCTGCTCTATACCCTCCTAGCATCCCACCCTCTCCAATATGCCCACCTTCCACCAACCTCACATCTATCTCCCTATCCCTTCCCCAGGACTTGGGCTCATGCCTGCCCACATCTGATGTGAGCTCCTAGTTCCTGTTCAGCTGAAGCTGGCTCAGCTCCCTACCCAGCTGTGTGACAGCCAGAGGGCTGCCAAGTCTCAAGGTAAGGCCCCAGAAGAGCCGAGGAACCATTCTTCTTCCAAAATTCTTACAAAATACATAAGGGAGTCCCAATAGCCTTGCCAGAGTCAAAGAGAATTCACATCTCTACAGCCAGCTCTCTAAATCTCTGTTCTTCATCCCACCACATTGTACACACAGCCAGAGAAAGCAAGGGCTTCCCTTAGCAATCCAGACTGACCCTGCACCCCCAATCTCAGTCACTAACCCTAAAAGCCATAATGTCTTCAAATTTTTAATGGTACAGGTTCACAATGAATGGAAAGGTGATGGCGTTATATTTAAATGTCAAATAAACGTGCCGTATTTCTCTTACTGAGAACTATTGAGGATTGAGGTGATATCATTGATTAAAATTTATACCAGAAACAACGCTAGTTTCTGAAAACGTAGTTCTACTGGAAGTAAAGTATATGCTTAAAAAAGAAAAAGAAAAAAGAAAAGAGGAAGGGAAGGGAGAAGAGGGGAAGAAAAAGAAAGTGACAGGTCTTGGAGCAGCAAAACCTACTAGGAAAGCTTGGAGAATTTTTCCCTCATTATACAATTAACACACGGAGATTAATAAAAAATTTTGAAAAAAAAACAGAGGCAATTTTTAAAACTACTCCACCACCACAATACATTTGAATTTTATGTTTTCTTCATCTTTATGCTATATCTGTCTTATAATATAAATCATAAGTATTTCATTTTATTGTATACTCAAATATGAATTTTTTATTATTTTATAAGCATATGATGTTTACATAATCATTATGATCGTTATTTGAATGGTTGCATCCTATTCCACAGATTCCAAAGACTGATCAAACGGTTTTACCTACTGGTTACCAATTACCTAGCTAATAAATTGGATATTTAGGTTGTTTCTAATACTTTCCTGTTTTAAGTAACACTGCTAGTAATAACTTTAGACAATTTTTCAACATTTAGAATGTTGTTTTAGGCTACGTGGATTAATGAGAAAGGGTATAAACACTTTGATGGTGCCTAATCTACGTTCCTAAATATCTTTCAGAATGAATGAATTTTAACAAACTTACAGAAAAAAAGTTTGATTTTATTGGACTCTCAAAATTAACATTGACATTTAAAAATTATTTTTACTCAAATAACTCATTTTTACTTTAAGTTAGCTTTCTTTGATTTGTATAGAGAATGAAAAAAAATCATACTTTAATTCTTGTGTATAATTTAAATGCTGTTGTAGGCAGAGAGAGCACTAAAGGAATCGCAGACACTTACCACAGGATTGCTTCCCTAAATGTTAAATAGATTTTACCAAAAGTTAAAATTCGGAATGTTCTTCAGTTTGAAAACCCGAGATCTGAATTATCGTTCTTGCTTCTCTATTTAATTTAGCATCATTTTATAAAGTGCTGGTTGATCTTGAAAGTGTTATATTTGATATTTTTTTTGTAGCAGAAGGAGAAAGAATAATATATTAGAAGCACCACCATTGTAGATTTGTAACAATGGGCTTGTCTTACAGGAGGGTGAGTGAGGCAACTTATATCTCATCACTCTGGTCTTATAATCAATATTCACTTTGAGGCATTCGTTTTACTGTATCTTTTGCCTCCCTCTCCATGTATAAAGTGTTTACTTATATGGTTTCCTTTAAAATAAAAAAATTTTTAAAATTATTCTGAGAATAGGCACTTGCCACCCAAAGTCAGTCACTTGGCAATAGTAAAGAACAGGAGATGCTGAGGGAGAGAGTGAGAGAAAGGATCAGAGAGAGGCGGGCTTACCAACAGAGCTACACAGAATTATCAGGACATATGAACGACGAGAAGATGCATTTCTAAAATTTTGCCTTAAAGAATATGAAACATCAATAGTAAGGGCTGGAAGTAATCGGCAGTGCCCTTGAGCAGGTAAAGAGAAGGGAGGGGGAGAGGGCAAGGAAAATGGAAGGCTCAGATAAACAGTAGCCACTCCATGTTCCTGTAATTAATTGCAAGCCAACCAGAATCTCAACCACACACCTTGAGCCAAGTAAAGTAACAAAGTGTACGCAATGTCCTAAACCTCCTGTGAACCTCTGGTGAGGCCGGGGCTTAGTGCTTTCCCAAAATGATCTGTAGATGCACAGAAGCAACACATGCAACCTTCTGTCAACAAATAGAGCCATGAAAACAGCACCGGCCTTTATGCCCACTGGCCTATGTTCTCGAAAAAGTCAACGAGGAACTAAAAGCAAACAAGCACCATGCCAAAAAAAATTAAGTAACAGGCTTTTGACACATTTTATGACTTCCCGTATTTTGTATGTTTTTAAGAGAGGAATTTATGCTTGTTCATTAAAAAATGATTCATTGTTTTCCAACAATAAAATTTTTTTAAAATGTGGTATATTCATTTAATGGAATATTTAAAATCTTTAAAATACATAATGACATGGGAAGATTTTTTTATGCATTTTCAAGTAAAAAAGAACTATTATAAACCAGCGGAAATTGTTATATTACATTTTTTAAATGGGTAAAACCATGAGGCTCATACAGATAGAAAATAAACACATGTCAAAAATTTTATGTAACTCATTATTAGTTAGTAAATGAGAGAAACAAGCATAGGTTACAACCAATTCAAAGGAGAAATTAAAGAACTGAAAATTTACATGGAACAAATGAATGTTGAAATAAATTTACAAATGAACACAAAACTGGCTTTTTCCTGGGGATGCAGAGGGAGATTGTGTCTCCAATGGACAGAGTCATTTGAAGGTCCAGAGACAAGAAATATTTGCATTTGCGGTAATTTGTCAGTAATCCACAAATTACAGAGATGAAAATAACCTAATGAAAGACAAAGTCCACATCCCTATAGCAGTGTTTCTCAATCTTTTTTAGATTATTGCCTGCCTAAGAATATTTTTTTCAGATATTTTAACCTAATCTCCCCTACTTGGTGTCCTCAAAATTAAATACTAAGCTATAAGATTTTGTTGGGTAGAGTTGAACTTTGGAGGGCCACAAACCGTTATAATTGCTGTGATGCTTTTCTGCCCCTCAGATCAAATTTTTGTCCCCTTTGGGGCAATTGAAAGTCCATGTTGTTTAGGACAGACAATCCCCAGAGTCCACTGGAAGGAATGTCTAGTGATCTCTGTAGCCTGTTGCAGAGTTTTAAATTACCTTCACAATACATTACAATGATGTCATTCTTTAAAGCCACTATATATGTGTGTGTTGGCCGGGCGGTAGGAGGGGAGGGGGTAGGTGTTAAAGTGTATAGCAGGAATCCACAAACTACAGCTTACAGGCAGAATCCAATCTGCCCATTTTGTAAACATAGCTTTATTGGTGACACACAGCCACACACACCGTTTCTAATTGTCTCCTGTGTTCTGTGGCTGCTTTCACACCCCAACAGCAGACTTGAGCGGTTGCGACAGAGGCCAGAGGATCCACAGGCCTCAGATATTTATTATTTGTCCATTGACAGAAAATGTTTGCCAATCTCTGGTTTATACTAATCTGTTGATATATATTATCTCTAGTTAATAAGAAAATAAATTAAAAATAAAATCTGTTTTCTATAAATGTTTTACTAATTCATGACACAAAAACTCAAAATTGTTACTCATCAATTGTATGCACAGCACTCGAAGGATAGAATTATACAACACGGGTCCTGCCCTGTAAAAAGCTTCTAATTTCATGTTGCTGGGATAAAGTGATATGTTCGCTTCCAGAGTTGCATTCTTTCGCTGAAGTAAACTAAAAATAGAAGTCGATGGGGACTACTAGAGGGAAAAGATAATATTTGTAGATATGACCCAGGTCAGTGTCAACTTCTAGGTTAGACTTTGGCCTTCTCAGTCTTAAATAATAAAGGAAAATCAGATTTAATAGTTCATCATGACTGAAGTATGTGCTTCAAATTATTATAAAAATAATAAAGTGTGTGCTTGTTCTCAACTTCTAGAGAACAGTATTTTCTCTCCATTCAGATTTTACACTCATTGAGGTCATGAAATTCAAAGTTACCCTAAAAACCACTGAGAAGATGTCTTCTAGATAGGTAATATTTCAAGACTTAGGCTGCCCTGATTCACATAAATTTCTAATCTTTTCCTGTCCACATTTCAAGATATCATTGCTTAACAGAGCATCTCAAAGTATGTGTGGCATTCTTTTCTGTTCATTCTCTCCAGCTTCCAGAAGCTTACTTTCCCAGGGACTTAACCTTGCATGGGTCTCTTTAATACATGAATGACAATATCTTTGTTCCCATTATAATAGAATTCAACCAGCCACCTTGTATATACAAGAAGCTTGTATATCTAAAACCCTCAAAACCCAGATTTTTCTCATTGCTTAATTCTAGAAATTTGAGAACAGTGTCCTCCAAACCAACATATTTACAGAATAAGAATTTTACCTATTTGTAAGATTAAAAAGTAAATAGATAAATGAATGAGTCTTGGGGGATCAAAAGAATTAAATTTTTTGATTGAAAATTCTCCAGGAAGTAACTATGAAATCACCATTAAATCCAAATCAACTCAATAATTGGTCTGGACCTAATATATCAGCCTTTCCCAACCATGTTGTCATAAAACACTAATGTGCTCCAGTCAATTGTGTTGTGTCTCCAGTAATCTGTCTCTAATCAAGACGAAAGTACTGAAGTTTCCAAGTTACTTACTACTGTCAGAAATGAAAAATGATTCAAGAGGACCCCTATACTAACCATTCTCACTCACTTACCTTCTAATACATGTTACTGAATGAGCAAGAAAGAAGACATGAAGGTCAATAATACTCTTATAGAGGTGCCTGGCATGTGAACAATATCTGTCATTTATATCATGGTGAACAAACGAGGTTCAAACTTACAGTTGAATGGAAAGAATCAATGGGGAAAGAGAAAAATGGTGGAAGAGGGAAAGACAGAGGATGAGGGGGTGAAGAAGCAAGACAAGAACAACAATTGTGGAATGAGAAAAGAGAAGAGCCCCAGTGGAACAAAGCAAAAAGAATCAAAAACCAGGAGAGAGTGGCTAATGGAAACCACAGGAGCAAAGTCTCTGGAAAAAACACGGTGGAGTGGGCAGCATTAATTCCTGCTGAGAAATTAAGTAACCTTGCTGATGTGAGGCGATCAGATGCCCTTAGGCTGACATTAAAGCTTGAATTTAAGAAAGAGTTAAAGGAGGGGAGCTAGAGCATCTGTAGACTCTCTTCCTTGCGAGGCGTGGCCTTGCTGAAAAAGAGACAGAGAGGGCGGTGTTGAGAGGACAGTACGCGAAGGCAGTCACTTTTAAGAATTGGAGAGACCTGAGTATGTGTAGAGAGGCTCCAAACAAACAAACAAGGAGAGTTTAAAAACTATCTTACAGGGAGGAAATACCCAATGGAACAAGGTTCTATTCCCAGAAAGGGTGGAAGGGGAGAGGATCATGAACAAGGTTTGGCCTTGAACAGGAAAAGACACATCTCTTCCTCATAAACTGGAAAAGGGGAGGTGAGAGGGTATGTATTTGGAGTTCCACTTCTTGTGGACAGAATGCCACAAGATTCACATCCTATAGACCTGAAAAAAGTCATCCATGGAGTGGGAAGAGGACACTGTAGAAAATGAATGGCTGTGTAGAACATGGGAGAGGAAGACGACAAGAAACAGGTAAAATCCGTGCCCCAGCCCCTCACCCCACCCCCAGGGCCCTGTACACATTTTCCAGAAGAAAGGAAGGAGGAGCTAACAAAGGCATTGGAGAGAAAATGGTCACAGTACTGGGAAGAAAGCTGCATTGCAACAGAAGCCATGGGGAGAACACTTAAAGGAAAAACTAAACAGGAAAAGGAAGGAGCTGATCAATGGAAGGCAAAACCGCAAAGAACTTTGAAAGATAATTACAGAGGAAACTTCACTAGACTTGGCAACAAGGAAGTTATTAATAACGAGATTTTCTATAATGGAAAAGATGAGACCAGATCTCATGGAGGGGTAGTGATGAACTGAAGGCAGTTATGGGACCATTCCACCTTTTCAGGAATTTTAGAAGTGAACAATTCTAAATTGTTCTGGGGTAACAGTCTGAGGAGATGGGATACTTCGTATGTGAAAGAAAAGAACACATATTCGTGTGTATGTGGCGGGACTGGGGGTATGTGTTGAGTGCCACTGTAACTCGACAACTCAGCTACCTTACGGAGTTATTGTAAGAATTAAATAAAACACCTTGTCAACTGAAAACCACCATACTAATATGAAGTGTTATTTTCATTATATACGGATTCTCATTTATTGAAGGTACAAAACATGTTTCTTGCCATTCAAAATTCCATTTAGTGTTTTATAGGAATGCAGTCATGAATCAATAAACTTTATCATCAGAGCTCTTTCCTCGTAGCCACTAAAATTCTTGACAGCTCTGAAAGATGAAATCTCCAGACAAATGAAACCAGCAGCTGCCATCTCAGAACCTCAGCAGAGAAAGATGGAAAAATTACATTATGCTGATTTCTATGGTCCTCAGACAACTGCAGGTTATGGGGACAAAATACTGACTTTGGGAATTAGCTTGCTTTTTCATGCTGGCTTTCAGATCTGTTGCTAATTTAGTAAAACCCATATTTCTGCTGGGCAAGACCTAGGAAAGTCTTAGGTCAAGTTTTTAAAGCCAAGCTTTTTATCACACTCTGACAGCTGGGAAAATGATGTCTGGAAAATGCCATTATCAAGAATAAGTGGTGTGTTTTGCTTTGGGCTCTTCGGCCTGAGGTTTTCTGCACATCTGAAAAACCCCAAAGGAGCTAAGCAGTTTGCAGCTAACAGCTAGTAAAGTAATTAAATTGTGTATTTGCCAAAATAAATAAAATTCATTAATTAGTAGGATTGCATATTTTGGCCTAATATTTCAGCCATAAGTTTTTTTTGTAAGAGTAGGTTCTCAAACTAGCAACTCTTGATATGAAATCAGTGGGCCTTTGGAACAGAACAACCTTCCTGTTTTGCTGCTGTTTTATATATTTGCAAGCAAGTAATTTAACCTACCTGAATGTTAATTTCTTCACATAAAATGTAGATAAGAATTACAGTCAGGTGTCCCTTAACGACAAGGGTATGTTCTGAGAAATGCACTGTTAAGCCGTATTTCATCATTGTGTGAACACACACAAACGTAAATGGTATACATAGCCTACTACACACCTAGCCTAGGTGGTCTGTTACCGTATAGATACCGCAGGCAACTGTACACAGTGGTAAGTATTTGTGTACCTAAACAAATATAAACAAAGAAAGGCATAATAAAATACAGTATAAAAGATCAAAAGTGGCACGCCTATGTAGGGCACTGACTATGAATGGAGAGT